AAGTCGATGGCACCTCCAACCATTCGAAGAAAACGATCGACATGAATTGATTCGTCCCATCGGATTCAACAACACGAACCAAATGATTCCAGTGGATCCTAGCTTATCGATCTCAAATATCTCCTCATTCTCAAACAAGAGTGCCAGTTCGAATCAAGAGCAAATTGTCGAAGCATTTTCTTTTCTAAAACTCTCGAGTAATCGAAACTTTTTGTCCGCTCGCGAGCAGAGGATCCGAACGATGGAAGCAGCTTACCAGAGCTTGTCTTCAACTCAGAAACAGAGATTTTCTGATAGAATCCCGGAGATTCTCAACGAATCTATGCAAAAAATTTACAACTTTCACGATTGGCTTCGAAAAGATCATGGTGATAAAGAAATGATTAAAACTGGTGACATCGATCGGATTTTCGAGGGGCTTATCATTGCTGATTATCAGACACAAGCGAAAGAGCTGGTGAACGCTTATATCTTGTTGACACATCACGATGGTTTGAATTATTCACTATGGAGAAATTATCGTTTAATAAATGAAAGAATCGAGGTCCTTGAAGACATAAAGAGATTCACTTATACAACTCGTTTCTATTTGGACTGCTATTTTACGTTCTCAACTAGGGAAGAGTGGCTATTTCTGGAGGACGGTTGGCATCTCTTTATGAAGAGAAATTTAACCGAAGTTAGAAATTTTCGAGGCGAATGGCTAGACGATGAGAAGAAAATCTTTTTCCTGAAGAGTAAAATATTTTACGACCACTGGGAACCGCCAGGCTTTGATACGGGAAATGAGCACGATGAGCTGCACTACTCTGGCAAACGAGCCATCGATTTCCATGAATTTATTGATGCTCTGAGAAATGAGCGAGAAAAACTCTTCACCCAGACGAGGATTCATATAGGAAAAATGTGTGAATTGAAGAATTTGAGACGAACCGGCAACATTTTGTTCCCAGAACTGATTGGAGAACTCCCAGTTTCTAGATATTACTTTCAAAAACGAAACCCTCCTCGCTATATTTGTCCTCATCAACCGAAATGTGATATCTTGTATTTTCCACGAGATTCGCTTGAGCATCGAAATGAGAAAAAATATAAAGGTATCTTGAATAATGAACTTCAAGTCCCGTATTATAAGTGCTCATCAGCAAACACGTTGGCTTATTTACATGAGTACTTTGAGTTAATCGATCGGCTGAAGATTCCATTGATTTTAAATGCAACAACCTATCGACCGACCGTTGGCATTGTTTCCAAAAAAATTGAGCCAAACTCTTTCAACAAATGTTTTATTTTTCTTTGCATTTCCAACTTTTTGAGGAACTCGGCTAACGATTTAGTATTACTCGATTATCCTTCTGAGGATCGGTATCGAGAGCAAGAAAATATGATTTTATTTTCATATGAACAGGATGAAAAAAATCCTCTTTACTATCGAATCGTTTATCATCGGGTTTCGCGAAATGAACTGATGCAGCGGCTTGAACAATCAGAGCTACGAAGCTTTATGCTTATGTTTCATGAGAAGAATGATGAGAGAATGTATTTTGAAAATTATGGACCAAATTTGTCTGCAGATTAGCAAAAAATCAATAAGTCAATCGTTTTCATTGAATAAAGTCTTTTTTGGAGCCGCATACTTACAGTGCGTTTCAAATTCTTAAGCACACTATGAAAACAGATTTCTTTATCGACAAAAACTAACAATAAAAAGTGAAAATCAAAACTAATCACCATGAACTGAAAATGACCATCAACAGGGGTTCCGCTGTTTTATGGCCATTTATGTACCTTATTGCCTTCTTTTCTCGCCGTCTCGGTGTCTTCCTCATACTCTTCACCCTCTTCTTTGTCATCAGAATGACATTTCAACAAGATAATAATGTTTGGATGTGTTTCCAGTTTCTCCAACGCGTCCTTTTCCATTTCGAAGCGGAATTTGGACGGACCGAGCAAATCTCTTTCATTTTTTGTGAAGAATTTGAAAGCAACTCCAGCTCGAAGAAGTGCTTTTGCAATCAGTTTTTTTGCAGGTCAAGTTTTGTAAAAAGTAAAAGTTTCGTTGAAAAACTCATTTAATCATTTAATATCAAGTTGACAAATCTTTCTGGATGTGTGCAAACAAATTGGTCGGTTCGAGTAATACCGTGGATCTTTTGAAAGTTTCCTGTTGGTAAAGGGATCATTTGTTTAGAAAGGGCTTGACAAGCAAAGACGTGTTCCAGCCATTGAAATGCCCCAAATTCTGGATGAAGCGCGCTCAATTTCCTATGAAAAACAAGTTTATGAGCCACTATGGACAAGTTTTTATTATGTTAAATGAAATATTTTTGGTGCAAAAAGCTTCAGAAATAAGTACAAAGAATGAACATCACCGAACAAAATTCAACTTGAAAATGAGTTAAATATTTACCAATAAAAGTTACTAGGATGAGCTCAGCTTGACAAATTAGTCAATGCTGAAAGGATGTATTCAGTGAGATTCCAACTACAAGTAAAAAGACCACAAGCAAAAATAAGACTACAAATTTATTTATTAAATAATTGTCTTTTTCAAGAAATTAGTTGTTGTGTTGTCTTTTGAATTTGCTGAGGGAGTAAAGTTATATCTCAAGTACACCGTTCTGTTTTTCAGGATTTATCAAGTACATACAATGTTCTAAAGACCACGAAAATTTGATAAACAAAAATTTTTCAGCTCATATCATATAGTGGGTTGGTGAATTGAAAACTGCGAGACCTTGAACGAAAATTTATTCAAAATAAAACCATAAATTCATTCCAAATAATTTCCATTATTATTGACGACTTCTGCCCATTTTACAGGCAATTTGCGGATTCCTCTTTCGTAGTAGGATTTTGGTTTTGAATCGAAAAACTTTTAAAGCCAATTTTTGACTGCTTCTCCCGAAACGAAGTGTTCTCCCGCAAGCTCATTACTCACGATCCGGAATAAATAGTAATCAAAAGGGACGAGGTCCGGACTGTATGGGGAAAAAGTTCCCAAACAGGGCTATTTATTTTAGAGCGAGTAAGTTTTGCAGGCTTCATGTTCAGAAAATCTCCTTAGATTTCTTTCTTCGTTTTTAATCTGCAGCTGAGCATTCTTCGGTCTCGACGTCAATAAGTGAATAGCAAAAAACAATCAAAAAACAATCTCGACGCCTTTACAATCAATTCTGAAGCGTTTTCCGTTATCTAATGCTTTAGCCTAATTTCTCAAAGCTGCTGAACTAGTATTCAATCTTACGTTTAAAATAAAAGATTGACTTTTATCGCCTTCTCTGTTAATATACAAAAGTCAACAAGTTCTGTAGAAAAAGCGAGCTTTAAAATAATAAAAACGAAGAGAAAAGAAGGGCAAGGCTTCTCACAATCACAAGGCTTTGCAGTTTGTTTTGTAAAAAAGTGTTCAGACTTTGTGAAACTTTAGATGGAATAAAAGACTAAAAATATCAGCAAACAATGGGCTCCACAAAACGTGTTTTTAGTTAATCTGTACTTTCAAAAGAAAGCTCAAAAAGTACTTCATTTGAATAAAAAGTTCGTGACTTTGTTTTGGCAAGCAACAATATAAATGAACGGACAGCAGAAAGTCATTCAGTTCATTTTAAAATGTGTAAGCTTTTTATTGGATACATTCTAATTGTCTTTGTCGTCCAAGTGATGGCCGATCGTGGTGGGAATGGGAATGGAAACGGGAATGGTAATGGGAAAGAGGGCAAGGTTTGTGGTTTAAATATGTTTAGTCATTAGATTTATAAGCAGTTAGCCTTTTTTCATGAGAAAAATGATAGTAGTATTTCTCGATTGAAACCTATTTTTCTAAACAACATAATATTTCAATAAAGGACTAAAGAAGCTCAAAGGAAACATTGAAAACTTCAACACACTATGGATTTTCTCTAGGTTAATTGCAAAAAACCAGAAGTTTGATCAATATTAGGGAAACAACGGTCTACATCTTGGATGGGGAAATCCTCATCATCCTCATTTTTCCCAAGCAACAAGTCCAAGCACTCAAACGACGACAATAACGACGACGACGAGCCCGATCCTGGTAACACAGACTCCAACTAGCCCAGGTACTGTTAGCCATCTACAAAAATCTATTATATATAAAGCAGAAGAGATGTCTGTCTGTCTGTCATAGGCACTTTTCTCGAGGCACAGATCGAATTTCGAGATGCAGTTTTTTTGTTCGATAGAAAATTATGATTTCGCCCCCAAAAAATCAAGAAAATCCATCAAACCAATTTTTTAAAAGTCAAAAAATTGCAAAACTAACCGAGTCTAACTTCTCCGCGCGCAGACGGCCGAGTGATCAGAGCGCGCGACTCTCAAACAAGAGTGGGAAAGAGGCGTCGTGGGTTCGATCTTCCCTCAAGAAAATTAATTTTGCTTTTCTTTTCAAAATGGATTTTAACTGTTGGAAAGTCAATTTCGATAGTTTTTACTATATAAAAGGGAAGAGACGTCCGTCTGTCCAAATAACATGATGTGTAACATAGTCTACAATCAAGTTCTCGAATAAACTATGGAAAAATTAACCCAATAGCTCTTTTAAGGGCCCCAGCCAAATATCTTTGATCTGGGTCATGGGGAAGAGTGTCCCTAGACCTCCACGCGATTCTCCCTGGAGGTTCCCCTATTTGCTAACGCAGTTTTCGGCGTTAGCAGCTGAAAACTGCTGGTAATTGATAAAACTTCAATATTTGACAATACTTCCTAAATTTGATTTAAAGCCTTTGCCTATTCGGTTTGATTTTAAGAGGTTGCAGTCACATTACAGATTTACTACACAGTAACAGTTATAGGTAACAGTCAATCTTCTTCAACATCTCCTTCTTCTACTACTACTGCTTCATCGTCTTCAAATGCAACAAAGTCCCCAATTTGCCCATGTCCAAAGATTTTCAACAAACAGCGTCCATGTGCCAATCAATGGAGTGAGTTGCTTTGAGGAGCAACCATCATTTCGTTTCTTTCTAGTCTCCAAAGCTATGGTGCTTCAAGTAGAAAATGGGGAACCCTTCAATCACTACACTCTCAAGCACATCAACATTTTTAGGGTAAACACTGAAGTATTGTTAAAGTATTTTATAAAATCAATCTCAGGGACCACATAATTTGCCAAAAAGCCTCACGATTCCGACTGGGCCATGTGGTCTCTCACTGCTGCCCAACACTATTTATCTCCTCAGCGGTATGTAAAATACTAGCTTTACGGGTTTTAAAAAGGATATATGCATAATGATTGTCATTTTTAAAAAGTTCTTTCAGGAAAAATAAATGGAACGGGCCTTTCGGCGACTCGTTGTGATCAGCTATTTAATGTTGTTTCTCCGTATTGGTTTGAGGTTAGTTAAAAAGAAAATAGGATTAGTTTATAATAGAAATCATTCTTAAGTACCAATATTTTTGTTTAAAATCTTTAATTCTTGTTTAGGTGAGCCCAAGCCTCGTAAAAGAGCTGAACAACTTGCAATGCTCCAGCTGAAGTGGAACCGCTTTTTTTTTATTGATGTGATAAAATTCAAAATATAAAAATATAGAATTTATCTTAAAAGTTTGATTTTATACTTCAGTTTATCTTTATTTACCATGTTCTTTCACAATAAATTTCCTCCCAATTCCACTGACGTTGCAAAGATCTTGTTTTTTTCCTCTGGCCTCAAAAACGATGAGAGTTTTTGAGAAATCTTTGGTTAAGCATTTCTAACTCTGAAAAAGCAGCAAAACAGAGTCTTCTTCTCAATAACAACAAAACATAAGTTCACTCTGATTTCAGAAACCAGAAAAAAATACCAAACTCGGAAACAACCACAAAATTCAGTTTATTTGATTAGGTAAATGAAATAGGCAAAAAATTTTGAGTCTTGCAGTACTTTCTTTTAAAAGAAGGAGATCGTCATCAAGGAGATTGGCCATCAAATAGCCCTGACCTTACACTGCTCAATTACTCTATCTGGTCCATTTTGGGGTCAAAAGCTTGCGCTAAGGCACACACATCAATTGGTAGTCTTATAAGTTCTCTGAAGGAGGCTTGGGATGAAATTCCTATGAGTGTAATCGAGCCGTTGACGCCTTTCCAAAAAGATTCAGACAATGCATTGCGGCAAATGATGGACATTTCGAACAAAAATGATTCTTATTGACCTAATTGTTTGACTTCAATAAATTTTTTGTTATAAAATCGTTTTTCGGAGAAACAAGAAACATTCGAGTTGTATGTTACTTTGAAATTTGTCCGGATAATTTTGGGACACCCTGTACAACGTCGAATGATCGTAACGACTAAAATGATAAACATTTCCTTCATGTGTACAAAATTCGCATGTTTTGCATAGATCGAAAAAATAAGTTAAGGTAAAGGTTTGATCTAAATATCCTAGCTTTATTTGTGAGCAACATTTTTGTTAAAAAAAGTACAAGCGGGCAACATAGTCCAAATACAATTTCTGCTCATCATTTTGCGGGCTGTTTGCAAATAAAACGGGCTGGGAAAGGCGGCCCGTAGCAAACCCACATCCACAATTTCGTGCCACACGATTGATCGTTGCTCATCTGTTTCGAAGTCAAATTACCAACTCAAATAAAACCAAACCGTCCAATAACAAGTCGCATGAATGTCGACGTTTGTGCCCGTGTAATCAAATGGAGAATTATCATACCAATGTCCATTCTGTCCACCACCATAAAGGCCGATCCAAGCGTATTGATAATCACACGAATTAGGCACACTTTTAAAATTCGAAAAGTTTGAGGCAATCAGATCTAAAATTTAATGAGGTTTTTTGATTTTGAGATTTTCTGTAAAGTAACAGAACCATAAACAAAATTGTTCTCATTGTCGGAGTGGATTGAAACCAAATGTGAGTTTTCACCCATTTGCTGGCATGCTCCCTCTGCTGCTAATATACCATACAGATCCAAATTTGTTCCATCGGAATAAGTGAAATTCTATTTACATCAAAATTTTGAATGGTTCATCTAAAGTGAACCCTACATGTAAATAGTAACAGAAGCCGGTCGTCTCATAATATTTCCAGCCATTTGGACAACTCTTCGGTTGGTACTTTGTGGTAGAGGCTATAAGATCTTCATTTTGTTCTACAATTTAACAATTTAACATACAATCAACCCTTGGGGTAGTCGGAGTATTTGTTGAGAGTTTTGTGGAAGTTTGAGCTTAAAATATGAGAACAATGATTTAAGAATAAAAAAACTTTTTCCATTGATCGAGCAAATGAATGGACGAGCATAAGAACATTCAGCTGAATGCCATTTCCCGTTTTCGGGATTCATGATGGCACAAATCGTCGTGTTGCTCTCATTGTCTGGTTCTCCTGAAAGTTATATTAGACTTACATTTTGCCACATCTAGAGCTTTCAAAATTATCCCTGTAGTCCCTCATAAATCGTAATGTATTCGGTTGGGGAGAATGAAATGGCGCCGAACTTTAAAGACACTTTTTAAACGCGTAAAGCCTTCTTTAAATACACATTTTGTTTCATCAAAAGGGTCCACTATTTTTCTATCAAATGACTTTTGAGCGATTCCACAAAGCTTTTCTTTTATGGAGTTTATAGACTCCCAAAAACGGTAGTCAAAATGACAGAGTCCGACTCATCGTTTGAACAGTTTCTTCCACATAAACCTATTTGGTGTTTACATAAAAAAGATAGAGCACAGTTAATTACAAAAGTAGCCAAATTTTCAGGAAAATCCCTCCAACCGTTTCCTCTAGATGACAGTTTATAGATTTTCATGTAAAAATGATCTTTTGTTGAGCTGAGGCTCTGTTTGAGTTCACTTTTAAATGTCATTTTGTAGAGAATTAGTTAACCTTTCCATTGATATCAAACGCGTATCATTTGACAAAATCTACTAGAGTTTTTTTAGAAATTTCTTTGATTTTCGGTCCCATTTCGTTCTCCGCAACCCAATACTAGCCTAGCCAGTAAACGGATCTTTGTCAATGTTAATCAATGTAGTCATTGAGTTAAAACTAAACTCCAAGTCTGATAAAACCTACTAACAGCCCAGTTCTGATAGACCAAAGCCGATCCATCGTCGTATGTCCATGTGTGGTTTGACTTTCGCTCGATTCCAATGTAAGCGGTTAGTCCTCCTTGTACAACTAAAACTCTCTGCACTTTCAACAAAAACCTTAAACCTGAATCTAACATCGCAAAGATGAAAGCGTTTTCGTATATATTTTCTATTTTGACGGGCCTTCCACCCAATTCCGCACAACGATGAATCACATCAACATAGAAGAGATCTGTGAAAGAAATGGTTTTGATGAAAGGGGAGCTGGCTTTACGTTCCTCTTCGAAGAACACACAAACATCTTCATTTGGAATCTCGTAGCTGCCAGGAGGACATTGAAAAGAGTTGACCAATTGAAAAAATGATAAACCAAAGAATAGGAAGTTCAGATAGTTTTTCATTCTTTGAAAATGATCTCTTCATATCAGATAAACTCAGCCTTTTATGGTGTCCGAACTAGGGCATTAAAATTACTGATTAAAAAAAATGCTGAACTTGCTTTTTAATTTCGATCGATAAATGAACGGTCGCTCCAACGCTGAGGGTGCAAATCTAGACAATAAGCATAAACAATAATAAAATTTGCTTTTTTTTCATTTCTTCTTTTAGTAGTCGGCAAATCGTCCTCACTTGGCTGGCTTTTCTTTGCGGTGAGACGACGGGCCGAGAGTTCATTTCTTTCGATTCACTTGTTCACGACGGCTTTCACTTTGACCTGGATGGCGCTTGGCAATTTCTTGCAAATTTGTTGAGGTCATCGAACGATTTGTACCAGATGACGATGGTGAAAAGTGAAAGCCGTAAACAGAAGAGAAATTTAAGATTTCAATAGAGAAACTAATTGGTCTAAAAAATTGCGCTGAAAAGTGAAAAGTTATGAAAAACAACGTGAATAGCAAAATTTTTCTCCAGCAAAAAGAGTTTCAATTCTCATTTTAAACTCAAAGAAATTCCCACTTAAAGTTTCGGCCCAAATCGGCTACGACATATATATGTTACGTCCGAATCTGAGGAGACGTCCATGTCCGATCCGGCCGTCCGAATCTGAGGAGATCCATTCTCCTCTGAAACGGAGGAGAATGATCATTCTTCTCGGAATCGGACGTCCGATCTTGAGAATAAATAGTTTAAATGCAAAATCCAATGTTTTGAACAAAACACATGTATTCAGATTCAAATTTTCCTTTTTCTTTCAAATTCAAAGGTAAAATTGATGTGATTGTGCTTTTTGCACAGAAGAATCAGAGAAGAATGATCATTCTCCTCCGAAACGGACGTCCGACTCAGAGTCGGACGTCCATCTCTGAGGCGGACGTCCGTTTCAGAGGAGAATGAATCTCCTCAGATTCGGACGTCCAGATCGGAGATGGACGTCCCCTCAGCTTCGGACGTAACATATATAAAACATATTGGATGAAAGTTTGATTTAAATAAAGATTTGACTTAAGATATTCAATTAAATGGATGCTCTAACAAAGAGAAGCTTCTTGAAAGCCCTCTTCACCAATAAACTCCTCTTCGTTTTGTTGTTGACCAGCACTCAGGAAGGTAAAATAACTCTTCTACATAAAAATACAGTAATAAGTTGAGGAACAGTTAATTGTGAGACATCGCCATTGACTTGTTGATCCATCAATACAATGTTCAAAGGATCGAAAACTGGCAGATCCTGTAGTTTAAGTGGAATCTTAAAGAGAAAATTAGAAAAAATTGTCTTTTAACACAATTTTCCCAGTCTTACTTCTGGATCCCTTGAAAAATGACAAAAATCGATCGACAAGCTTTTTGTATATATTGGGTTAATGCGCTTGCTTTGGCAGTCTTTTTCTAAAGGACGTCTTTTAACGCTAATCAAATGTGAGCCCTAAACGAAACAAAGCCATAATCCAAGCAAATTCTCTCATTGAAATAAACTGATACTGTAAAAGAATGAGCTCAGAAATCACCGTTCTCCTTCTTCCCCTCACCACATTCCCCTCATCAAATTTTCATTTATCTCTCGTGTTCCGTTGCTTTCAACACACAAAAGAGCTCAAAAAGAAACGAGTAACAGTGCTTGTGTGCTGTACTTTTGTGACCATCAAAGACAAAACCTGAACGATCTTTTTGTTCAAGAAGACTCTGTTTTGCTGCTTTTTCAGAGTAAAGAGTGCTTAGCCACCAAAGATTAAGGCCAGCGGAAAAAAAAAACAAGATCTTTGCAACGTCAGTGGAATTGGGAGGAAATTTATTGTGAAAGAACATGGTAAATAAAAAGATAAACTGAAGTATTAGAAATACGGTAAAGGCTTTACTTTGAAGTATAGATAAACTGAAGATCACCTCAAATTTGAAAGAGTTTTCTTTTTTACAAACTTTTCTTCAAATTTAGTCGTGTCATCAAGGAGTGTCGATGTCAGGCCGTTATCGCCACGTTCTTGAAGTTCATGTTAATAAAGAAGATATGTTCACTTGCTCGGCTTGTGATTTCTCTCATTGCAGCTCAATAGCCGAAGCTAGAAAGTGAGTTAAGCACCGAAGTTTCCTTTTTAGCAGAAAATGAACTTTACGTTATTTTTAGTCACGCCGGCACTGCTCACCCTGACGAAAACGCGTGCCCACAAAGCAAAAGCGGTTCCACTTCAGCTGGAGCATTGCAAGTTGTTCAGCTCTTTTACGAGGCTTGGGCTCACCTAAACAAGAATTAAAGATTTTAATTTGGCTACTTTTGTAATTAACTGTGCTCTATCTTTTTTATGTAAACACCAAATAGGTTTATGTGGAAGAAACTGTTCAAACGATGAGTCGGACTCTGTCATTTTGACTACCGTTTTTGGGAGTCTATAAACTCCATAAAAGAAAAGCTTTGTGGAATCGCTCAAAAGTCATTTGATAGAAAAATAGTGGACCCTTTTGATGAAACAAAATGTGTATTTAAAGAAGGCTTTACGCGTTTAAAAAGTGTCTTTAAAGTTCGGCGCCATTTCATTCTCCCCAACCGAATACATTACGATTTATGAGGGACTACAGGGATAATTTTGAAAGCTCTAGATGTGGCAAAATGTAAGTCTAATATAACTTTCAGGAGAACCAGACAATGAGAGCAACACGACGATTTGTGCCATCATGAATCCCGAAAACGGGAAATGGCATTCAGCTGAATGTTCTTATGCTCGTCCATTCATTTGCTCGATCAATGGAAAAAGTTTTTTATTCTTAAATCATTGTTCTCATATTTTTAAGCTCAAACTTCCACAAAACTCTCAACAAATACTCCGACTACCCCAAGGGTTGATTGTATGTTAAATTGTTAAATTGTAGAACAAAATGAAGATCTTATAGCCTCTACCACAAAGTACCAACCGAAGAGTTGTCCAAATGGCTGGAAATATTATGAGACGACCGGCTTCTGTTACTATTTACATGTAGGGTTCACTTTAGATGAACCATTCAAAATTTTGATGTAAATAGAATTTCACTTATTCCGATGGAACAAATTTGGATCTGTATGGTATATTAGCAGCAGAGGGAGCATGCCAGCAAATGGGTGAAAACTCACATTTGGTTTCAATCCACTCCGACAATGAGAACAATTTTGTTTATGGTTCTGTTACTTTACAGAAAATCTCAAAATCAAAAAACCTCATTAAATTTTAGATCTGATTGCCTCAAACTTTTCGAATTTTAAAAGTGTGCCTAATTCGTGTGATTATCAATACGCTTGGATCGGCCTTTATGGTGGTGGACAGAATGGACATTGGTATGATAATTCTCCATTTGATTACACGGGCACAAACGTCGACATTCATGCGACTTGTTATTGGACGGTTTGGTTTTATTTGAGTTGGTAATTTGACTTCGAAACAGATGAGCAACGATCAATCGTGTGGCACGAAATTGTGGATGTGGGTTTGCTACGGGCCGCCTTTCCCAGCCCGTTTTATTTGCAAACAGCCCGCAAAATGATGAGCAGAAATTGTATTTGGACTATGTTGCCCGCTTGTACTTTTTTTAACAAAAATGTTGCTCACAAATAAAGCTAGGATATTTAGATCAAACCTTTACCTTAACTTATTTTTTCGATCTATGCAAAACATGCGAATTTTGTACACATGAAGGAAATGTTTATCATTTTAGTCGTTACGATCATTCGACGTTGTACAGGGTGTCCCAAAATTATCCGGACAAATTTCAAAGTAACATACAACTCGAATGTTTCTTGTTTCTCCGAAAAACGATTTTATAACAAAAAAATTTATTGAAGTCAAACAATTAGGTCAATAAGAATCATTTTTGTTCGAAATGTCCATCATTTGCCGCAATGCATTGTCTGAATCTTTTTGGAAAGGCGTCAACGGCTCGATTACACTCATAGGAATTTCATCCCAAGCCTCCTTCAGAGAACTTATAAGACTACCAATTGATGTGTGTGCCTTAGCGCAAGCTTTTGACCCCAAAATGGACCAGATAGAGTAATTGAGCAGTGTAAGGTCAGGGCTATTTGATGGCCAATCTCCTTGATGACGATCTCCTTCTTTTAAAAGAAAGTACTGCAAGACTCAAAATTTTTTGCCTATTTCATTTACCTAATCAAATAAACTGAATTTTGTGGTTGTTTCCGAGTTTGGTATTTTTTTCTGGTTTCTGAAATCAGAGTGAACTTATGTTTTGTTGTTATTGAGAAGAAGACTCTGTTTTGCTGCTTTTTCAGAGTTAGAAATGCTTAACCAAAGATTTCTCAAAAACTCTCATCGTTTTTGAGGCCAGAGGAAAAAAACAAGATCTTTGCAACGTCAGTGGAATTGGGAGGAAATTTATTGTGAAAGAACATGGTAAATAAAAAGATAAACTGAAGTATAAAATCAAACTTTTAAGATAAATTCTATATTTTTATATTTTGAATTTTATCACATCAATAAAAAAAAAGCGGTTCCACTTCAGCTGGAGCATTGCAAGTTGTTCAGCTCTTTTACGAGGCTTGGGCTCACCTAAACAAGAATTAAAGATTTTAAACAAAAATATTGGTACTTAAGAATGATTTCTATTATAAACTAATCCTATTTTCTTTTTAACTAACCTCAAACCAATACGGAGAAACAACATTAAATAGCTGATCACAACGAGTCGCCGAAAGGCCCGTTCCATTTATTTTTCCTGAAAGAACTTTTTAAAAATGACAATCATTATGCATATATCCTTTTTTTAAAACTCGTAAAGCTATTGGATTGGTGAATTGAAAACTGCCGGCTATTGTCATATGTGACAGTTTGAGCACTTTCTTCAAAAGAAACCCATTTTGGTGTCAATGGAAAAGTTGTAGAGAATCAAAAATCAAGCTTATATCCAATTTTTCAGAACGATTTAAAAACTGGTCTTCAAGAAATGCCAAATTTACGAATTTTCACAAAACTTGCATTTTAAGCGAATCTTTTTGAAAATTTGGCTATAAGCCTAATTTTTGATTCTCTACAACTTTTCTATTGACACCAAAATGGATTTCTTTTGAAGAAAGTGCTCAAACTGAGACATCTCCAGTCCTCCATTTTTGAGTGTCACGCTTGTGTCACACACAAACCAAAATCCTACGCAGAAAGAGGAATTTGCAAATTGCCTGTAAAATGGGCAGAAGTCGTCAATAATAATGGAAATTATTTGGAATGAATTGATGGTTTTATGTTGAATAAATTTTAGTTCAAACTCCGGCAGTTTTCAATTCACCAACCCAATAGGAATTTACATACCGCCGAGGAGATAAATAGTGTTGGGCAGCAGTGAGAGACCACATGGCCCAGTCGGAATCGTGAGGTGTTTTGGCAAATTATGTGGTCCCTGAGATTGATTTTATAAAATACTTTAACAATACTTCAGTGTTTACCCTAAAAATGTTGATGTGCTTGAGAGTGTAGTGATTGAAGGGTTCCCCATTTTCTACTTGAAGCACCATAGCTTTGGAGACTAGAAAGAAACGAAATGATGGTTGCTCCTCAAAGCAACTCACTCCATTGATTGGCACATGGACGCTGTTTGTTGAAAATCTTTGGACATGGGCAAATTGGGGACTTTGTTGCATTTGAAGACGATGAAGCAGTAGTAGTAGAAGAAGGAGATGTTGAAGAAGATTGACTGTTACCTATAACTGTTACTGTGTAGTAAATCTGTAATGTGACTGCAACCTCTTAAAATCAAACCGAATAGGCAAAGGCTTTAAATCAAATTTAGGAAGTATTGTCAAATATTGAAGTTTTATCAATTACCAGCAGTTTTCAGCTGCTAACGCCGAAAACTGCGTTAGCAAATAGGGGAACCTCCAGGGAGAATCGCGTGGAAGGTCTAGGGACACTCTTCCCCATGACCCAGATCAAAGATATTTGGCTGGGGCCCTTAAAAGAGCTATTGGGTTAATTTTTCCATAGTTTATTCGAGAACTTGATTGTAGACTATGTTACACATCATGTTATTTGGACAGACGGACGTCTCTTCCCTTTTATATAGTAAAAAACTATCGAAATTGACTTTCCAACAGTTAAAATCCATTTTGAAAAGAAAAGCAAAATTAATTTTCTTGAGGGAAGATCGAACCCACGACGCCTCTTTCCCACTCTTGTTTGAGAGTCGCGCGCTCTGATCACTCGGCTATCTGCGTTAGGGGAGGTTAGGCAGCATTAGACTCGGGTAGTTTTGCAATTTTTTGACTTTAAAACAATTATTTGGATGAATTTTCTTGATTTTTTTGGAGGCGGAATCAGCATAAAATTTTCTATCGAACAAAAAAAAGCTGCATCTCGAAATTCGATCTGGGCCTCGAGAAAAATGCCTATGACAGACAGACAGACATCTCTTCTGCTTTATATATAATAGATTTTTGTAGATGGCTAACAGTACCTGGGCTAGTTGGAGTCTGTGTTACCAGGATCGGGCTCGTCGTCGTCGTTATTGTCGTCGTTTGAGTGCTTGGACTTGTTGCTTGGGAAAAATGAGGATTATGGGGATTTCCCCATCCAAGATGTAGACCGTTGTTTCCCTAATATTGATCAAACTTCTGGTTTTTTGCAATTAACCTAGAGAAAATCCATAGTGTGTTGAAGTTTTCAATGTTTCCTTTGAGCTTCTTTAGTCCTTTATTGAAATATTATGTTGTTTAGAAAAATAGGTTTTAATCGAGAAATACTATCATTTTTCTTATCAAAAAAGGTTAACTGCTTATAAGTCCAATGACTAAACATATTTAAACCACAAACCTTGCCCTCTTTCCCATTACCATTCCCTTTTCCATTCCCATTCCCGCCACGATCAGCCATCACTTGGACAACAAAGACAATTAGAATGTATCCAATAAAAAGCTTGCACATTTTAAAATAAACTGAACGACTTTCTGCTGTCCGTTCATTTATATTGTTGCTTGCCAAAACAAAGTCACGAACTTTTTATTCAAATGAAGTACCTTTTGAGCTTTCTTTTGAAAGTACAGATTAACTAAAAACACGTTTTGTGGAGCCCATTGTTTGCTGATATTTTTAGTCTTTTATTCCTTCTAAAGTTTCACAAAGTCTGAACACTTTTTTACAAAACAAACTGCAAAGCCTTGTGATTGTGAGAAGCCTTGCCCTTCTTTTCTCTTCGTTTTTATTATTTTTAAAGATCGCTTTTTCTACAGAACTTGTTGACTTTTGTATATTAACAGAAAAGGCGATAAAAGTCAATCTTTTGTTTTAAACGTAAGCTTGAATACTAGTTCAATAGCTTTGAAAAATTAGACTGAAGCATTAGATAACGAAAAACGCTTTTTGATTGATAAAAAAATTGATTTTAAAGGCGTCGAGAATGTTTTTTGATTGTTTTTTTTTGCGATTCACCTATTGACGTCGAGACCGAAGAATGCTTAGATTAAAATGCTTAGATTAAAAACGAAAAAGAAATCTGAGGAGATTTTTCTGAAGATGAAGCGATTATGCATTCACAATCGGCTTCATCAATAGCCAAATGATCGACAATTTGTGATCGGTGTCAGTCTAATTGTCTTTGTCATCCATCACTCGACAATAACATCCAAAATGTACTTTTGAGTTCATGCAAAAGGTCTTAGCATTTTTCGAAAGTAATGATGGATTCTTTTTATAGCCATCTAAAATTTAGCCTCTAAGAAAAGTCAAACTTTTTTAAAACATGCATAACGACAATTGGTAGATTTATTCTAGAAATTTACTTTGTTGCACTTGCATTTTGCTTTAACATTCAAATTAAAAAGATTTATGTAGACAAAGTTAAAAAGACTGAAAGACAAGTTTTAAACAAACAAAAATGTATAAAAGAAGTTTAGAGAGAAAAAAAAGTGGCAATGTGATCTTTTTGTAGAGTTAGAGGTGGCTTCTCTAAAAGTCGCCGCTTTCCCATCCTTTCCACAGTCCACAGCAGAGACATGTCAATGGGCAACAGAGAGTACAAATCACATCCAAACAATCCCGTTGCCAAGCTTTCAATCGCCATCGATAATATTCCTCATAGTGCTGCTTCGGTTTTGTTGTTGACAGCAAAAAGACGATCGTCTGTTTTTTGGCTTCGCCTCTTCTCCCAACACAATTAAGCAAATTATGAGTTCCTGGATGGAGTTCAAAGACTTTTCTCATTGCCTTCACCCTCGTTTTTTTGCTGACTCTAACTTCAAATAGTGGTACAAATTTTAATAAATTTGATCGACCAAAATTGATGAATACGACATGTTCGCAAAATTTGAGTTGTCTTTCAAAGAGTTTCTTCACGTCACTCGACGTTCCAAAGTAGAAATTGTCGGCGAATTTGAGAAGGGCAAATTCGATGATAGAAAAAGAAAAATGAGAGAGATTTCTGAGAAACTGTGAGTAGACATCATCTAAATGGAAAGCAAGGACTGACTTTAGATTCGGAAATGTTTTTCTAAATTTCCTCAAGTCCTTCATTTCCATCACTACACCCGGGATGGTTATATTTTGACAAATGGTGATGCTTTTAAAATGATAGCGTCTTTTTAAAACAATGCTATATGTTTCGGCATCTTTTCTCTTTGTTATTTGAACTTTGAGGTATTTTTTGTCAGTGTTCGGATCAATATAACAGTCGATAGACATCCGAAAGACTTTTTCACCGAATGGACCGTTCTTCAAAAGGTATTTTCGTAAAGACCAATTGGTTTGAAGAAATTTGAATGAAGACTGAAGATCTAGTTTCTTTAAAATCAATAGTTGAACTTTTGGGGGAAATCGAGATTTTGAAAGTGGAGAAATCGGAGAGTCTGAGGCTCGATTTGAATCGGTAAGATAAAGCTGATGTATGGTTGTAGGATGGGATTCCATATTGAAAGAAAATGGAAAGAATGTTTTGGAAATGAAAGCTTTTCTACCACCCACTCATGACTCGCGTATTGATAAAAGACTTTGACAGGGTGAAATGCGGTTAATCTTTTGTCAGTCTGACGCTTGTGTCCGGTTAGAATGTGGGTAAAATTGAAAAGTGAAAGAAAATAATGCGTCAATCAGATGAATGATTAATCAAAAAAGAATCATTAAAATGGTGTGATTATTGGAACGTCATTTACGCGGTTATACCAAAGTTATTTAACAAAGTTTTTGAAAATTTATATTAACTATTAATATTAGATTGAGGTTTGTAAATAAAAGTGACAAGTCTGCTTAGTTGACTTTTAGCCTATACTGCAATATTCATCCAATTGACTGAATCAGAAGAATTCGACTCATATCTCAACTTATCCTCAAGTTTGTTCAAAAAGAAGAGTTTGATCGAAGCATCTACCGCTAAATCGTAGAGAATGACGTTCAGAGAAAAAAAATGTTTTTCGAGACGTTTTCATGTTAGATTTGAATTTCTGTCGCACAAATTTTAAATGTTAATTTTCGCATGACGTCGTCGCTATTTGAAGGTAGTCGATCATCCCATTAGTGATAAGCTTCAAAATAGTCAACGCAAAAGCAAACATAACAACAAAGCACGCCAACAGGAGGTTGGTTTGGGTAATTTTGGGGCACCTTGTACATTCAAAAATATCAAAAAAGAAAAGAAAAGATGGCTTTTCAACCTTTCAAGACATTGAAAGTTTGAAAGAGGAAATTTTAATCGGATTCCAGTTTTCAGCTGGATCTAGAATGATTTGAGAGAAAACATTTCTCTAGTCACTTACATGGGAATCGCCAGAAGTGGAAATGACCGTTTGGGATGAGTGATCGATCCCGTTCGATAGATCTCATGATGAATATTGATGACCAAAAAAATTAGCTCCCCGAAATAACTCTAAAACGAGAAATGAGGCCGATAAAGAGCAAAAAATGACGTTTTTGACCCTCCTTGACGAGAATGGAATAACTTTGTAAGTAAAAATGTACACAAAAATAGATAAAAACGAGGGGAGATGATGAGAGCCTCTTTGTAGAATACCGCCTTTGAGATGGCTCTTGCCAAGGCTGGTCTGGTCTTTTGAACTTTTTAAACTTTTGAACTGAAGCTTTTTACTAACAAATCAATATTGTAAATCAATATTTTTGAATAGTCTTTTTTGCATGTAATAGAGCTTGAATGAAACTAAAAAATATTTCATTAATTATAGAAACTAAATATGTTCCTATGAAAAAAGTTCAGTAAACTTTGGCTACAATCAATAACTTTGAAATGTAAAATTTTATAAATACTTTCGGAATCAACTTAAAATTGAATTTTCAAACAGTTGCAACGAAAGCTTCGGTTAAACCAACGGCCATCGGTAATCAATCGGAAAAACAATTATTTCTCTTTCTCTTTCGAATAAAACTTTTTCTTTAACATTTTAGTAATCATTTAAAAATACAAACCCTAGTTCTTGAGTAATCGCGTTTCCAGGAAGACAAAAACACTTGTTTCTACAATCAGTACTGCTCGTTCTCCACGGCTACTGGTTCAAAAATGTCTAAGACTGAGAGATTTTGTCTTTCCCTTTAGTTTTTCTCATTTTAGTGCCGTTTTTCAAGTCTCAACTTAACTTTACATAATCTTTTATTGCATAGATAAACATTTCAAGCAATTCATAAGTTTAAAAAGATGAAAGAACTGAAAAGTTCAAATAATTTGACAGCAACACAAAAACGAACCGTATCAGAGGAAAGGACAAAGACTGGCAAAAAAAAAATTTTGTGGAGAAAATTGTGTTTTTCTGTAAAATCCCAAAAAAGACAGTTGGGCATTTGGCTGTGAAAGTGAGATCACGATAGAAAATAGATAAATAGAAAAATTTGAGCGAAAACTGGAAGAGGTTTTTGTAGAAGGAAAGATATGAGATTATTAATGGAATTAAGATATTCAGTGAATTGTTTCGAGAAAGATTTGAACACACTCGGGCACTTCACAACAAGAGATATTTACATATAAAAAGCAATGGCTAAAGTGGTGGGATACCCGTAAAGAAAAGAAGGATTGATAAATGGATGAATATCTTGAAAATGAGAAATTTTCTTGATCACACATTTCCTGAGCGAGGCATTGTCTTGACACGACCGTTTGTCCGGGATTCATCTAGAATTTTGAAGCTAGATTTTACTTACTATTATTTCTCAGCTTTGTGCAGTAATTTTCTATGAATATACCATAAACAATCAAATAAAATAAGCAATTTTTGGTATCAGACTTATTCTTGGACCTGGTAGAAGCGGTCTAGGTGCTTAAATCTTTACAATTTTTTTTCCAAACGTCTTTTAAAAATAATGTCGCCACCAGCCATATTTCTATTTAAACTATTAAAAAGCTTAATTATTTCTCTACAAAACGCGTTTTGAGAAATTCTTGAAAGTAGTTGTTTTTGTGGATTTTCAAAGGCACCAAGCCGAGCACCCAAAACTGCTCCGATGCTTAGGTAAGTCGCAATTTGGACACTTTCTTCAATACAAACCTATTTTGCTGCGTATGAAAAAAAGATAGAGCTTATTTGATTAAATAAGTCTGTGAAATTTGAAAACAATTCGTTCAGCCATTTTCTTTAAAGTAACTATTGAATTGAAAATTTTACATAAAAAACGTTTTTACCGAGTTGAGGCGAGCTTTGAGCTTTCTCTCAAAAGCTATTTTGTAAAGAAATGATAGACTTTTTTAATAGTTTAAGATGCAACAAATTTGGTAAAGGATTTTCTTCTATGGAAAGAGAAATTTGAAAAAAAATTTTAAAAACTGATGCACCAGCCTAATAGAATCGAATGGTCAAAGATTCTAGCAGCGTGCGTTATAAAAGACACCTATTTTAGAAAATTACCGTAATCGAAACAACCAGTTTTCATTTGATTCACCCAATTTTTGATATCATTCAACGAGAAATCACAATGCTAAGTGAATTATACAAAAATTTGAGTGATTGAATCAAAACTGGCAAATAGACTATGATAGTTTTCTAAAATAGAATTTAGAACACGACTCTAAAGATCTATGAATTGGTTAAATCTTGGCTGTCTGAGACGTTCGTGTTGATCACTGTGCTATATTGGCCAATGGATAGTGCGTCTATTAGTGACAGATCCTGTAGTCAGAATATATAGATAGATCTGATACTAGGTTCAAAATAAGCCACAACTAATCTCACATTTACATTAAGTCAAAGCTTAAGCCAGATTTATATAATCCTTTTCAAACCCACAATCAACTTGTGCTTTGAATGCACTCGTCCCCATTGATGGCACCCTTCTCGGTCCATTACTTGCTCCCCTCTGTGTCCCATTTTCTCTTCTTTCTCCATCGGAAGTCTCTCCATCCGCATCTTCTCCATCTTCCATCAATGACGATCGTTGACTGTCATCGTCTCGACTACCCGAATTTCGTTGTCGGCCATCTAGAGCTTTTCGTTTAACAAATTTAGAATAGTTTATTTACCAGATGTTCTATTTCTGCTTGTTGGCCGATGATTTCTCACATCGAAATCAAGGGGATCATTGTGTAGAGGTGTTGGTCGAGGAATTGGTGATCCTTGATGTAAATAAGATTCTGGCACTCGATCGTAGTCATCAATTCTTCTTCGTAAAGCCTAAATAGAATTGATTTGTAAAAATTGGTGCGGTTAAATCATTGTAAAATCGGGTTCTTATTTTCATAACTGAAGACATTCAAATTCTTGAGTAAAAAACCCACCTCCATAGCTCCAGGTGGTGGTGGGGGATTGCCGGGTGGAGGCGGGAGAATGTCGACGAGATTTTTCGGCGGGCTTCTCCTTCCCTTTCCTTGTGAGGATCCACCAGTGCCATCCGAACTCTGCACATAGCTCACATCGGTGTGTGGCGGACTATCAGATTGATGACTTCCAAGGTGTCTCTCGGATGCTCTCGAGGCACGAGATCTTCTCCCAGCAGTACCTTGATCAGCGTATCTGAAAGAAAATCGTTTAATTAATGAAGTCGAAAAATATTACAACAATATTGTTCTTTTTAAAAATAAACCGAGCCAGTAATTCTAGCTATTACTGGAGCCATCTTCTAGAAAATGCTTTATTCTTTCTTCATTTCTTCTTCCCCCTTGTCTTTCCCTCTTTCTCTTGGCAAGTTAAGGTACTGGATAGCACTAAGCTAGGTTAGCACTAAGGTTAGAGCAATTGCCGAAAGACTTATTTAGAGCGAAAGCAAAAGGTCTAGGGTTCAATCTCCTCTTCGGAAAACCACTTTTTCTTGTCAATTTCTTCACTTCTTTAACCAAGAAGAACACAGTATAGCCAAAATCTAGTAAAAGACAATTTTTTGTGCTAATTGTCATTTGTTACCTTGCCGGTGGTCCTGCTGGAATTGGGCCCATTGGAAGCGCTGGCCCTCTCAACATTCGATCGTTCAACCAAGCCGGTTGTTGTTGGCACATGACGAGTGTCGTTGTCGCATACGGAGATGGATCATCTTGGTACTAAATAAAAATATTTCAGTTCAATCGTTTCAATTTCCTACCTGTCCTCCATAGAAAGTGGACATAGGATTCCCCGGTCCACCGGTCAATTGAGCATAATGATAGTGTTGTTCAGAGGATGGACGAGCAAGTGTTCCGTGAAAATCATCACAATGTCCGTGTGGTCCGTAAAAGTCGTGTTGTTGAGGAGTCAACGAGTAGAGTGGTGGATTTCTGAAAGGGTTTTTTCTTAGTTAAAGATTTAGACACAAAATTTACCTCTGAACCATGGCTATTCGTTGAGCTGTCGTGTATCCATTCATGTCCTGCCAGATTGCATTTGAATGTACTGAACCGTCGTTGATCTTGATGAATGGACCCAGGCGCTCCTGCTAAATGTTGGATTAGATTTAGATTGCCGAAATTAACAATTAGATTTGGCTAAATGCAGAATTAGAGTAAAATAATAATCAAATAAATTAGCAATTTGCAGAAATTTGTGAATCAAGAGCTATTGCGCTTTTGAATTGCTATGAAGCAGCCATAGGATAACCATTTTAACCAAACTTACAGCACAAAGTCGATCCTTTCTTCTGCACAACCACCAAGTAGCCGATGCAGCGATGAGAACAAGCCAAACAACCAAAACGATCAACACAATCCAGAATTTTGTCGAGAGAATCGTGTAGAGGAAAGACTCGTGCTCGTTGGCCGCTTCGATATGTCGAGCCAATGTTTCTTCGTCTAAAATATTGAATTCAATGATTAATGTCATTAATATTGCAATCAACTGTCCAACAACTCACTCATTGTGACCACATCGGTTCCATGAGCGGCTCCAATTCCGGCATTTGTTCGTGCAGCTACTCGAATCTTGTAAGTCATTCCCGGTTGTAGATGAAACAATGTGACTGATCCAGCTCTCTCATTTGTGGTGATGTTTCGATTGAACTTTGTTCCCTGAAAAGAAGATTTATAAAGTAAATTATTGTGTCAAACTTTTCCAAGAATGATAATCTGGAATCCTTTAAGAATTCCGTTAAGTCCATCAGGTGGAGGAGGTCTCCATCCGATTCTCAACGTCGTCATATTCAGCATTCGGATTTTCACATCGGCTGGTGGAAGAGTTGGAGCTGAAATAGGAGTTGAGCTTGACAATACAGTGAATCCAATTCTATTGCTACATTTGAATTCAATAGAATGTCAGTATCTTTGACATCCAGATTGACTTTTAGAAGTTTAAACTTTAAACAACGAACGAGCTTCAGCTGTCAATGCATCCATTGAATTCGATGGTGTTCCTTGCACTTGCTTATGATATGGAATCACAAAGAACTCGTAGTTCGTAAAAGGCAACAATCCGCCAACCACAAATGATTCCGTATTTGCTCCGGAAACATTTACCCATCTGAAATTAAAATTATATATTTGAATTTTATTTGATTTCTCACTGATTAATGGTCGCAGTTGGCCCTCTCCACTTAATATAATATCCTTGAATAAGATCATCCATTCTCTTCCTTTTCCAGAAAAGTCGTACAGCTGTCGAATTGATCGTTTTCACCTCTTCCAATCGGATCAATTGCTCGGATGTCAGTCTTTGTCGAGCTGTCTCAATGTCCAGAGACTCCAACGAGAGACCGCCGGCTGGAATTTGATGGATAAGCATTTATTAATTAAATATTCATGAAAATTGAATGACCTAAGCACTTTGTTTTTTAAAGTATTCCAACTTATTGATCAGAATATTAGGCTTTGCTTATGCAAAGATTTAGCATACGATTAGACTGCAGAATTATGAACTTCAAAATCTTACCAAGAATCCAATGTACTTTTCAGAGAAAAATATATACAGTTGTATTCTTGTTTTATTGAAAAGAATATCTGTATTCTTGCTCTAGTCTTCTAACTTACTCGGTGCTTTATCGAGCGTCTTGATTGCCAGACTCGCTTCCGATGGAGCGCCCAATCCCTTCTCATTCTCGGCGCGAACGATGAAAACGTAAGAAGATGATGCTCTCAATCCTTTCACTCGATGTTTTGTCGTTGTCACTGCATCCGGCACATTGAACCATGTCTAGAAAAAGATGTTTAGGTAATGAAGGAGTTATTTACTTCTCCCATATCAGGACTGAAGTACTGGATGATGTAGCCGGTGATCACCGAGGCGCCGGTTCGATCGGGTGTCTTCCATTCAAGGTCCAACTAAAAAATGATTGAGTGAGTTGGGTAATTCATCCAAAAAGCTACCTCAGTATCACTGATATTCGAAATGATAGGTTTTGATGGAGCTGACGGGAAAGCGATCGGATCAGCCATTCGCGAGAAGATCGCTTTTGGATTCGAGTGCTCTGGAAAGAGATTTGTAAAATCAAATATCAACACATTAGAATCTTAATTATAAAAGTTGATTGTTTGATTTATATGCTTTACCTTCAATAGCCAACGAGGCTGACCAAGTGCTCTCTCCGTCAGAGTTTCTTGCCACACAAGTGTACACACCAGAGTCCGATTTTCTGAAAATAAAGACATGCTCTGTAAAGTAATTTCAAACTTACGTCAACTCAGCAATCTGCAAGCTTCCACTTGAGTGTTGACTGAAACGATCGGAAGCACCGATATCCAAAGCGATTCCATCTTTCAGCCACGAGATTGCTGGCGGGGTTCGACCAGCGGCCTGGAAGATAAAGTTATGATTGAGAAAAGATAACTCTTTATTTCCTGATTAAACTGATTAAAACTCTCACCTGACATGGCAAAATCGCTGATGATCCGACCATAATCGTTTGATTAACATGTCCGAGCTCAATGATTGGTGGTGGATGAGTGGATACTAAAGAAATAATAGTTTAAAAAAAGTAAAAAGCAAGATTTTTCATCTTAAATATGTTTTATGTTTTTACATCCATCAATGCAGTTGGTGCCATTCATCGAGCACATTGAAAGGGCTGATGTGAGAGAGAGAAAAGTGCCGAACATCTTTTCTCTTCAAAGAAATATTGATTCCCCTTTTTGGGTCAACCGATGTAACGGTTAACATCGACCGATTGAGAAACGATTGGTTTCGTTGGAGAACTTAAAATTATCTAATCTTCAGAAAAGAAAATAATGAAAGTATTAGTCATAAAGACAAAGATTCAGTCAAGCAAGCGGGTCAGCAGGTTGGGATTATTTTTTTGGGACTCAAAAAAATTTCAAGACTCAAAATCAATTACTATTACAATTACAATTACAAAATCAAAATCAAAATCAGTTACTACGCTAGCTTTCAATGAGTTTTTAATAAATAAAATCGGTTTTTGCCTAATTCCAAAAAGTGCAGCGAAATTGTACGTTAAAGTTTACGAGAAAATGATGATCAACGAATCTTGATCATCATTTTCATATTATCTTTAACAAAAAAATAGATAAGATGTAGGTTTTCAATTTGAAAACAAAAAGAATTGCATAAAAATTCTCGTATCCATACGAAAAATCGATCCTCACTTACGGGAAAGCATTCGAAATTCATAGAAAAGACACAAAAGAGATAAATGACCAGTTTCAATTCTAAGAATTCTCATCTTGAATCTCAATTGCTAACCCAAACTCATACCCAACCATTTGCCCAAAATCTCTCAAATGATTTGCCCTTCCTGGCTGGAATAACTTAATTTTAGTGCCCCCGGAGAACGAAAACGAATTTGAGCCCTGATTGGAACCCAAACAAGAAGCAATTCTTTCAAAAAGCTAAAAAAATATAGATACATGAAAAATATTTACATCTTTTGACACCTAGTCGCTAAAGATGAATCAGAATTATTGATTGAAAATCTTGGTGACTGTGACTAAAGAAATTTGCGTATTTTTTGGGGTTTGCTGAAAAACGAAAAACCATTGGCTATTGAATGGGAAAATGGATGAAAAGGCTAAAAAGGGCAATGTTTGCGCTTTTCGTGAGCAAATCTGAATACCTTTTCAAGCCTTTCTCCGTCACATATGCCACATCACAAAAAAAAGACTTGAAGTATGAATAGTCAGTTTTAAAAGTTAAGATTCCGAAAAACCTACAATGTTTTTGATTCCAAACTCTTCGCTAACCATTCTAAACCCTTTCCCCATTTTATTCAAGGCCGAAACCGTTTAGATAGACATATAATCCCTGAGTGTCCATCGAAAAGAAAAGTTAGGGTAAGATTTGACCGGAAAGATTGGAAAAGAAACGAATAACCTTGGAGTTAAGCAAAAAGAAGGGTGTGGATTGGGGTGGAAAAGGGTATATAGGGGATAAATCATCCATTCTGAGCAATTCTTTTGACTAAAAGTGTCCCGAACCATTCTCGATCCATAAGAAGTGTGATAACTCCGGTTAAGACGATACGGGGATTGCGAAGAGAATGGGAAATGGGAAAGAATTTGCACTGGGAATGTTATGTGAAAGAATAACAAGCGCTTTTTGTAAAGGGGAAATACAGAAATACATACAACCTAGCTTCAAATTTGATCAAAATAACAAAAAGTTGAAAAATTTAAGTCAGGAATCTTACAAGAAAATAGAAATATTTATTGCTGAACAGCTTACAGCTTACAATTTACTACAGAAATGATAACTAATTACTTATAAAACCAGTAAATCTTGCTAAAAGTTATAACAATTGCAAAAATAATAAAATTAGTGAAACAGTTTACCAGTTAATTATCTTATCACTCTATCCAACCATTTAAAATACTTTAATCAGCCATAATTTGATTGTAACTATGGGTAACCATTGAAAAACTCAGTGATGAAGGCAAACTGTAAACTAAAAGTTTTCAAAATCATTCTCAAAAAAAGAAATGTTCTTTTTTCAGGCAGATCAAAAAAAAATGTTGGAATCTTTTCGAGGCTTTGTTGAGAAGAAAAGAATAAACAATGCAAGGGTGGTGTTTGGAGGAAAATGGGGAATGGGGGAGAGATTGGGTGTAGGAAAATGAATACTTGAACAGATTTCAAAGATTGGGGAAAGCTTAGCGAATGACCAAGATATGGAGGAATAGTAGAAGTCATGTAAAATCGATGTTTTCAGTTTAAAGTTCCAAATTTTTTTAAACTTTAGAATGTTTAATAGACACCGGCATAAATTTCTTTTCAAAATTGACAATTTTACGCAAAAAAACGGTCAATCAGTGCTAACCAAACCAAATGAATTCAAAAATTAAACCAATAAATCGAAGCTAGGCTAGATCTAAAGGAAAATTGAGGCACCTGTTCCCTGTCCCGACAATGAGTACAACATTGTGGATGAGAACATTCGGAGGGTTCATTCTTCCCCCCTTTCTTCTTGGGGTGTTGTGTAATAGACACCGGCATACACCAATCGAGAAGGGGAATTGAAATCGACAACAGTAGAAAAGGGAAAAAGAACCCAAAACGTTCTCCTTTTCGTCATTTGGGTTGTTCTTTCCGATTCAGTGAGCTTTTCAAGGTCCAAGGCAAAAATTTATTGGCTAGTGAGATGGCTTTGGACTGAAGTCTGGGCTAGGTTTGAATGATTGGAAGTATAGGGTGCGCAAAAAGCTCCCAGAAAACTTGTACAGAGATTGATACTATAAATAAATAAAAAACCAGAAAAGATGATAATCTAGTTTATTCAAATAGAAGCAAATAGCAAATTAGCTTTTTCTGAATTCAGTACTGGTAAAACTTGTTGTTTTCTGATTTCTGGATCTGAAAGCGGTTTTCTTGAGCAGACTTCGAGCTTGATTGATTAATAAAGCTTTTAAAATTCTAAATCTAATAGTTAACAACAAAATGTTGCAAAGTTCTGTGAAAAGTGAAACCGAACGCCTTTCTTTATTCATGGTTCCACTCGATCACAAGAGTTATGACTGCCATTTCAGCAAAGTTTCGAGAAATTCTTTTTGACAGCTCTTGTCTAGTCTTATTCGGTAAAAAGAATTTTTAAGGGCTCTCAAAATAATCGAAATCTTTGGGAAAAATGAAGGGTCATAAGTGAATGGAGAGTGGAAAGAGGAAGAATTGAGTGATGAAAGAGTTTCATTTTCAAAATAAGTGGATTGGTACAAAAATTGAAATCTATTAAAGCATTGAACCTTATAAATCTTTCATTTTAAACCTAGATACTCACGGTAAGTAATGAAAAGTTTAAATATTGGAAACACGTTTAACTTGATAACTTGCTCACTCGCAAGAAGTGACTCAAAAGTATTGGAGTTCATAAATCTTTGGGGATTACTCGAGAAGGAGCTAACTGGTCAAGGGAGTATTTGGGGGAAAGAAAAGAAGAAATTGGAGAAAGAAAAGATTGGGAGAGACACTCAGATCTCTTTCTTTTTCCTGAGGGATATCCGATATTTGACACATCTTTGAGACCCGAAGAAAGACAAGAAAAACGGGCGGAGAGGAGGAGATAACACGCAAGGATTAGTACTGCTGAGGTAGTGATTTTTATCCTCAACTTTGTACAGTAATATTGAAATTTAAAAGAGAATGGTAAAGAAATTTTGAGAAATCTTGTGGTTAACTAAAAAATTTAACAAAAATCACTGTCAATTAGCAAATTGAAGAGTCAAGACAAAGAGGTCAAGAAGCTCAATGAAGTGGAAAAGAAGAAAGGGGGATTGGTGGAAAGAAAACTGTCATCATTCCCTGCCTGACAATCAATTATGATTTGGGGGAGGGGACCCATTTAAAAGGCTCAAAAACTCATTAATCTTTGACTCAAAGACGGGAATATTCTGGCTTGGGTAAAATCGATGAAATCTAATAAGTGAATGGTCAGGAGAGACTGTAAAAGGAGATGCAGATACGGCGATTACGATGGTGCTATCGGATTTTGCTAAAAATTGCTAGTTTTCGAGAAAAACGGCTTTGAAATTCTTTTACTCGAAAACCAGGCACGCTTCTCTAAAATGACTTCTTTTGGTCAGCAAATTGTGTCAGCGGCTAAGTCCTGCTTCACATTGTAATAAAGAAGTGAAGGATTTGGCAAGAAAAGGTAGATTTCCGGATTGAACCCTCGACCTTTTGCTTTCCGGGTAATTACTCTAACCACTCAACTATCCGGTACCTTAACTTGCAAAGGGAAAGAGGGAAAGACAAGGCGAAAGGGAAAGGAAGAAGGAAATCATCTTGAAATCAAATATACCAGTTTGAATAACCAATCCAACCAAGTCCGTTCTTGTATAAATTACTTTTGATTCTAGCCAGCTTAGATGCAAAACTTTAGCTTTACGTGTCAAAAATGTGGAAACCAATTCCTCGGCCATCAAACCAACGAGGCGACCAAGGAAATTAAGACTCACATATCCATCCTAAGACCATAAAAGCGTCACCTAGCTAGGGGATTTCTGAGGACAGGAAATAGTGGCCGGGTGGCACCCACAAAGGGAACACTAACCATTAGAAGAATCGAAAATCTATGAGAAATAAATAATTTGATGATGTTATGCAGAAATTGGTAGACACTGTAGGAAATCTAAGAATCCAGAAAAGAGTAGAAGGATGGAAGCTGTTCACTAACTAAATTGACTTATGTTTACTTTCATAATTTTAGTCAAAAGCTTTCTTGGTTAATCAATACTAGACCATGAAAAGATTATTTAAAGGGATTCGGTAAAGATGTGCTAGCAATTTCACTCACTTACACACACTGGCTCCCACGGCCAAGACAAAAACCCTTGTGATCGTGAAAAGAAAGAAGAAAGAGTGGCTGTAGTGGGTCTTTTCTCTTTTTTTTTTTCAGCGAAATGTGGCCGTCAAAATAACCTCTTCCCGGATCCACTCTAATTTGGATGCTTAGCGTAATGGGATTCGTCGGTTGTGTATTTAAATGAGAAAAACGCATGGGAAACAAAAAAATTGAGGGAGAATACAAATAGGACCAATCGAATCGTTGTGGACTGGGTAGAACAATGGTATATAGATTCAATTTAGAGTCAGTTGATTGGAAGCTATCATAGGATCCTGGATCGTGACACTAGCACCAAAAACAAGACCAAACCGTGTCGTTGAACCTTTTCAACGGATCTGAGCTTTGTTTATCCAACGGGGGCAAGAACTACGTGCAAACAATGTGAAGAAGCGTAAGAACAACATGGTTGAGTCAATAGGGGATGAAAAAAGGAGAGGTCACAATAGCCGAATACTCACAAACAATGCCGACACTCAAGAGAATGAAAATCTCAGCTTTGATTCAATTTAAAGGCTTTCAAAAGTTGTTGTTGTGGACTGTCTGTCGATAAATCTTTTGTTGGCTTTGAGCGTCTAGAGAAAAGGGTGACTGTGTGAATAAGCACACATTTCATCGATATGGTTACGATAAACATGACAAGGCGTTAGGAAAAGGGTTTGCGGAGAATAAAGAGCGAACAAAACTGGATAGACTGTGTAACGAAGAATCGATAAAGTTCAAAGAGTTTTCAAAGTAGGTCGATAATTGTTAGAACTGATTCAAAGGTACGAAAGTCGTGGTTTCTTCGGTTTTATTTAAAGCTAAAGCTACTTCACTATAAATTACGGGCTTATGGTTGCAAGATGAACCTTTAATCTCCTATATATAAAAGAGCAGCGTCAGTGGAATACTTGGCGGTCTAGCTCATTGATAGGCGTTCACCCGGTAAGCGAGAGGTCGCGGGTTCAAATCGCCGGCTCCGGCGATCTTTTGTAATCACAGCTCAAACCCATAAAAGGCACGCCCAACTATTTAAAGCTTTAGCAGTGCATCTTAATAAATTTGGAATGTGAACCCCTAAAGAGATCAAATCCATTCATACATTCCTGTGCCTTTTCTTTTCATCCCATCGGAAGTCCTTAACTGACCTCTTCCTTTCAATTCTTTCCTGCTCGCTTTCCCCTCTAATGGATCGCTTGGATTACTTGACTCCTACTCAAAAAGTTTAGAAAGTTCTAGTTTAAAAAGTACAAAATTAAAATTAAAATTACTTTCTAAAGCAGATTAAATAATTTGCTAAGATAAAAGATTGGTAAAATATAAAGGTAATAAGGGAATGAGGGCTTTAAAGCCTGAATTAAGGTCGATTCTCACTAAAACCAAATTATCGCCATGTAGGAAGCTAATTTTTTAATAAAGTTTAGAAAGGACTTAGATTAAATGAGTTTATCAATCATTTCTTGCTCCTCATTATGCCCAAATTCCTGGAAATTTTATATTTGGTTTTAGTGAGAATCCAATTCGTATCTTTAATACTTTTAATTTCAAGAAAATTTTTGAATCAATAAGATTGCAAAAAGATTGATCCGGTGGTGTGTGGCCATGTATCGCAATGCAAATTTCGCGCTTCATGGGAAATGAATCGAATGGGGAAAAGAGGGTGACACCAATAGGAAAAGAGGAGAAACGACGGGAAGGAAAGTGGAAAAGGACAGCAAATCAATCTGAATAGTTAATGACTGTTCATGAATCATGAAAGAATGAAAGACTTGAATAACTCTTGATTTATTTGTTTGAGAGTTGAGGGAGTTGGGTGATTGAGTGGGAAAATCTGCTGGGAATGGGTTTTGGTTGCAAACTGATTGACTTTGAAAGAGGAAAATGGTTAAAATTAGCTGAAATCAAAGAAATCTTGGACTAGACCTAAACGCATCTCTCAAAAGAGTTCAAGTTTGCAGAAAGATTGAAGTACAAAAGGTTCAGTGTTGTCAATGGATTTTTCAAGAATTGTACTATTGTTATTAGCTCGTTTTTTGAAGAAAATCTATAGTTTTAAGCTTTTGATTGTTAAACGAGTTCCATTTCTGTGTCGAGGAAGTGTCAGGAAGTGTCTACAAACTTTTATAAAAGATCTGTTGGAAATTTGTAACAAGTGGTCAGTAGTCGAAATCGCATTTTAAGAACGTAGGAAGATGAATTGAAAAAAGAAGAGATGAGATTGCGTGTGGATTGAAGAAAAGGATGGAGGAGGGGATGGGAGAGGGTTGAGGTGGGTGGAGGGGTACTCCACCCCTCCACCTCCACTAAAAGGTTGCACCGACTGGCCATCAATCTTCCCCTATAGCCCTTCTATAGATTCCTGCTTAGGTTGGCTGCCTTTTCTAACATTCTACCCTATTATATCTCTAAAGATGGTACAGAGAAAAAGACAAAAAAGAGAATCGCTGGTCGATGTGCAATCTCAACCTTTGATAAAAAGCGAGCCGCCTGTGTCGTATTTCACTCTTTCTTTTTTTAGAGATCCTACACGGTTCTCAACAAAAAAGGACAAGACGTTATGCAAATCACCCCTACTCTCACAATCGTCCATTCACCCGCACAAAAGAATTACCAAGCGAGGAGGGATGAGTTTTTGTGTGGATCGATCGATTTCTTATGTTTTGGTAGGAGAAATCGAAATAGCAAAATAATTTTTAAAAATTACTGTACACTTAGCACTAGGTGAATAGCAGCTAATGAATGTCTTACTTGAATATATTTGTACTCACTAGGTAATAGTCAGAAATCAAGTACTATTTCGTGCATCTATAATACCTATCCTATCTATTCAATGGTACTCATTAGGTCAGTCCTAGATACCAAATGAAGTACCTTATCAGTAAGTAAAGTCTTGGTAGATAAAGAACCAACAACTTTACCTAAAACGCATTAGTTCTTAGGAGATCTAGAGGACAAGAACATGGGAAAAATCAATAAAACTTTAGAAAAAGATTAGAATTAGAAACAAAACATTGTCATAGCCATCATAGCTATGCCAATATTATGGCTGGCAAAAGGCCCAAGGTCAAAGTTCGTATTCTATTCATTAAAAGTGTGACTCAAAAGAACACACCGATTGGAGGAAAAGGCTGAAGAGGCCATATTGTTTTGGGTGAACGGAGAAGGGAACTCGCATGACATCCACAGATGAATGAACACAAAAAAAAGGAGAAAAAAGGAGAGCCGCTGGCTTTGAGATCACCCCCCGTTTTCTCTGAATAGCTAATTATGGCCAACGGAGAATAATAGGGCTGGCAACAGGTTTGGGTTTGGAAATAAGTGAAAAGGTCATATTATAGCTGGCTATATAGCTGTTTGAACTCAAAAATGATCGTGCTTGATTAAGTTAACAGTGGACTTCATTTTTAAGGATCTGACATGGGTTTTTAAAAATGATCATTGACAAAAACTTGTTGTTAGACTTTCGATTATAAATAGCTGACTATATGTAGCGGATTCTCATGATTAGGAGACAAATTCAGTGTTGTGTTCGACATTCGGATGAATATCCGTTTCTTTCTCACCTCAATGGAAAGGGTGCCAATTAGAGAGATGATGAAGAGAAGCCTTAGCTTTTCACAAATCCCACAACTAGCTCAAATTCTAATTGAAAATTGCAAGAAAGAGTGCAAAATTTCTATTCACTTCGATTGGAAACAAGAGTTTTTCAACAATCTTTGCTGAAAATTATCACTTATTTAAGAAAAAGTTGGAGAAAACCCGTTTTCACAAGTGAGAGCTTCAACGAAAGCATTATTTCAAGCAAAAGGAGTGGTGGCTGGTTTACAAATTGATTTGAAGTCAATGAAAAAGTCGTAATGTTTGAGGGTGACGGAGAGCTCCTTTCTCCAACAGTCGGCTGGTCTTTTGATAGAGGTCATCCGGGTCATAAAATCCTTCGTCTTTCAATTTCACCCTCACAAACACGAAACAGTGAACAACGTGAGATCTTGAGATAAATTTTCTGCAATCCAAATTGAGATCTTTAACCTCAACTTTGATCCATCGAACTTTTTCTTAAATACCGTATTCTCTCTAATAGTAGTGCACTCTTTAATAGTAGTGCCCTCTCTAATAGTATTGCGGTTCGAGAGGCGGTTGAAAAAATAGTAGTGCGCACTACTATTAGAGAGAATACGGTAAGTGATTACAGAGTGACAAAAAAAATCATAGGTGTACCCTTTTGGTAATGTAGTTGTCAAAGGCCTAATTTAATTTAAAAGTATCAAGTGTTATATAGAGAATTGAAACCCTGAATCTTGGCTACATTTATCTATCCTAAAACTTTCAAATTATAAAATTCGATTCAATTACCAAGCTCGCAAATGAGCTCTAGCCTATATTGAGTCTCAAAAAATTCCCGGAAAACCCACAATCTTCAATCTAAATCTAATTAGCTTTTATTCTGGGCACCAACTGCATTGAGAAATTGCTTTGTATTTCAGTTTTAAATTTCATTTTAAACTTTTAAGCTAACCTTTCTCATGAATGACGACAAGCGATGCTTTTGAGAGACTACTCCCGGCGCTGTTCATTGCCGCACAAACATATGCCCCTTCGTCAATCGTTTTTGTATCGCTGATCACTAATCGACCCGTTTCCGATACTTTAAATCGACCATCCACTGACACATGACCCGGGAACATTAGACTCTGAAATGTTTGTAGATTGAAAGACGAAAGGTGAGAAATTTTAGTCTTCGATTAGCCCAATTTCAAGCTTTCAAGCTTTTAATAGTGACTTGATAAATGTTTAAAAACAAAGCCAAATTCTGAATTTGATTCTTTGATTTGAAATTTAACCTGTTGCCCTTCTCGACTCCAGAATAATTGTGGTGACGGTTGTCCCGAAGCGGCACAATCGAACACAGCCTCCACTCCTTCTTTCACCGTCAAATCGGTGGGTTTCGTGATGAAACTTGGTGGAGCTTGGACGCGGAGTCTGAAATTTGTTTTAACTGAGTGATTTGTTAAAAATTTGTGAATGTTTTACATTAAAAGATGGGATAAATAACCGTACCTGGCAGAGCTCTCAATTTGACCAGCCGGATTCCGAGCATAGCATACGTATTCACCCTCATCGGAGACTTGGACTCTAAAGGTTTAAAATTTAAAATCCCGATTTCCTTAATAAACCGATCAATTCTTAGCCCTCGATTATCTTTCGCGATATAGGCTCGATTCGATGGCATTTGATCGTTTTTCTTCTTCCAGCTGATCTGTGGTTGTGGCTCACCGCTGACACGACAATCGAATAGAACAGAAGCGCCTACTTCAACCGAGATATCCTTTGGTTCTTGCTGTAAAGAAAGATTTTTAGAGTTGCAAAGGAATTGCTTACAATGAATTGTGGTTTCTCGTAGACGGATAGTCTGGCTGGAGCACTCACTCGTTCACCGACCATATTATTCGCCAAGCATTGATAGGTACCCGAATCACCGTGATTCACCTAAATAAGACAAAAATGACAACAATGAAAAGTTGTCTTACTGTAGAATAATTGAATTTTCGATTTTAAAGTTTAATTCCGGTTCAATCTTTATTGCTTAGTTGTAGGCTCAGGCTTTTTTGCTTTCCAGGCAAATGCTCTAACCACTGAGCTATCCTTATCTTACTCGACTAGCCTATTAACCTTTAATATCAACTAAAATCCAATAACTGATGTGTTATTAAACCTTACAAATAAACAAATTTCAATCATTTGGTTTAGCAATGGCTTTTACAATTAATAAATTAAGGAATGGCAAAGAAAGATTTCTGGAGAGGGGATTGAACCCTCGACCTTTTTTAGCTTTCCAGGCAAATGCTCTAACCACTGAGCTATCCTTATCTTCTTGCTAGAGAAGAAAGAGAAAGAAAGAAGCTAGATTTACTAACCGGATCAATGATCAAATTTCCATCAGGATGTAGCGTCAATCGGGAATCATCATGAATTTTCAACTCTTTATCATCTTTCTTCCAACTAACGACTGGATCGGGAAATCCCTTTGGTGGAGAACATTCCATCACCGCTTTCTCACCGGATAATGCCTCAAATGTTTGAATTTTAGATAAACTGTTCCTCGATAAATACCTGAACATTTTTAGGTCGTGTCCTGAACTCGTCCCTCAGCATGGCTATTCTTAAATGAGCTTCTCTCGATTGTGCTTCGCCCATCGAATTCTTCGCCACGCAATGATACGTTCCCGCATCGACATCTTTTCCGTTTTTCCCTGAAAATCAGTGGATAAAAAAAAAGTTATCCCGGAAAAATTACCTCCATTGACTTTTAACAAGAATAATGATCCTGTCTCCAAGATGATTCGATGAGAGTTTACTTGATCCTTGTTTGTTGTAACCTGGAATGGGATTTTAGTTTTGTAGAATAACTGTAGAATGATTATTTTGTCATCTTCATAGAAGCATCAAATAAATTCATATTTTTCATAGATAACGGCACAACTTCAAACCCATTCCTCACTGATCTTCACTTCAACTGATCTACATTCAACTGATCTTCACTTCAACTGATCTACATATCTCATTCCTAACTACTCTTTCTCTCTAGTTTCGATAAATGCTTTTGTGTCATTCAATTACCTTGGAATTTGTGTTTATTTTCCTTTGACATTTCTTAATACTTGATTAATTGTTATGAAAACGCACCGGTACTCCATCTTTGTACCAAGTGATATTGGCTGTTGATGGTCGAGCAGCGCAGTTGAGTGTAGCTGGTGAGCCTTTTGAAACGATGACATCAAGCGGATGTTCGACTATCAACGGGGCGATTTCTTCTGAAATTTGATCATTTTTTGTTTTGTTTTTATAGTTCACATTCTAAATACAGGGTGATCAAAAAGCTCCCGCACACTTTACAAAAGAAGCTCCATTTTTCAGCTAAAACCCAGATCGAAATTCGACTCACTATATAGTATTTCGAAGCTGAAATTCTGAGGAGCATTTCTACACCTAAACCATTCTGATCAGAGCCACCTAGCTCTCCAAAGAAGCATTATAGTGCGCTAGAGGGAAACTGTCATGATGTTCACCTATTTGAACCTGTTTTCAATTGAAAAATCCTTCAAAAAGCCTTTTTAAATTTACACTTTTGTTTTCAACTCACAGCTCAATTGTTATTTTAAAAGAATAAAATCTCTGGTGAAAATAAAAACGTAAAATAGTCTTGAAAAAGTTGTTATTTGAAAACATTCGAAACTGTGGTTGCCTTAAATGCAGTGAAAGGCTTCTTGAAAAGGCTGGAGGTTTCTGATCGAAGTGATTCACTTATAGAAATGTTGGTTGTGGTTGCCTCAAATGCAGTGAAAGGCTTCTTGAAAAGGCTGGAGATCGAAGTGAATTTCTGATCGAAGTGATTCACTTATAGAAATGTTCATCAGAATTTCAGCTTCAAAATACTATAAACCACGGGAAATTTTGTTTTAGCTTTCATATAGAAAATGAATCATTTACAAATGTGCGGGGAACTTTTTAATCACCCTGTTTTGTATTCAATTCAATATCCTAGCTTTTCTCTATATCAAAGATGCCGCTCTGACTATGGCTCTTTCAGGGGCGAATTGTGAACAGCCGTCTAAATAAAACGATCATTAACCCTTTCGGCTTTTTGATAAAAATGAGTGGAATAAGTAGGTGAAAAGTCTTTCTTATAAAGAATAAGAGAGCAATTAGAGTATTCCGAGACTTTATTCTCTCCAAAGTCTTTTCAAATAGCGCGAGATTATGGCTCATAAATGCCAGTTTTTCTCTGATGATCCGCAATTTTGCGAAGGATTATGATTTGTAAAGTAAAAAGAGTACGAGAAAATCTTGATCCGTCAATTGTTAGGTTTAGAAAACTTTGAAGTTTGAGCGCATTTGCTGGTTCAGTTTGTTTTGATTTGATCAATTAACGCATCGCTCAATGTTCAGCCAGTTTTATTAAGCTATTTATTAGAAAAAGGTTATGACTGTAAAGTCGAATTGAAAAGTACAAGAAAATTTCAAAAATAAGCCCAGGTTCTTATGAAGTTTTTAATTTGACCCAAGATTTACTTGTTCAACTGATCGATTAGTCCTTTACTCAAAGTTAAGCTCTTATTTGAGCATTTGAAGTAATTCTTTTTATCCCTGTAACACTCATAGCCTAAAGTAAAGCTTAGGAAAGTTTACCGAAATTACTTCTGAAGTAATTCTCCGAATCCTTTCTATACTTTTATATTTACAAGTCACTTCACCACCAGGACAGGTGGCCGTTTGAAAGCCAGCAAGCCGCCTTTTCTCTTTCTCACAATATTCGTGTGCATGTGAAAGCAAAGAAATTTGATCTTCCCAAACAATGTGTTCTGTTTAACAACGCACAATGTTTGAAGTGACTAAATTTCCGGACAACTTTTTGACAAGTGACATATTTAGCGAGTTCTCTCTAGATCAAGTTATTCAGCAAGTTTTTGGCCAAAATTTGTTGCTCCCTTGGGAATATTGGAGAAAAGAAGGCTGGTTATTGGGGTGTTGAGCGGATTTCACAACAGTTTGAATAAATGTGCGTTTCTCCATCTCGAAGCTCAAGTATTCAGTAATGAGATCCAATTTACTACCTCAGAAAGGGGAATAGTTGCGAAATCCAGAGATTAATTCCAATTTTGGGTACAGCTTGCTTACATAGCACAGTCAGAAGTAGAAAATGGATCTGTTAAACCAAAAAAATCAAATGTTTAATGCATACTATGCTTACAATTATACTGACCAAATATTGAGTCATGAATTCTTGAATCCATTGTAGATTATCATATCATTTTCTTGCCAAATTTTTGTAACCAGACTCAATAAAATGACTCGTAAGTTCTGTGCGAAACTTTTCCCTTAACTTTGCAGTTGTCTCAAAATTCTGAAGCTAGATCCATCCACTTTTCCCGTTTGCCACATTTGGGTCCTTTCCCTTTCCCTTTTTGGGATCTCTCGGGTGAATGACCCGCGAAATGGTTGGAATGATGAATTGGGTTGGCATGCTAATGAGGGTGTCCGAGAACTGGGAGAAGAAGAACCCATTTGTATCCCCATCAAGAACGAGATCCATATTTTGCGTCAAAACGAATGGCTCAATCGATGATGGTTTGAGGGTTTTTATGGAAAAGAATGCTCAGCTTTGGAAAAATTTGAAAGATCTGATGAGTCTTTGTCTTAAAAATCCAATCTAGAAGTGTAAAATTTGAAATTTTGAGTGAAAAGTCAGGCTGGATACCTTTAAAAGCGAAATTCGATTCAAAAAAACCCATTCAATTGCCTGATCTAGCCATTCTAAAATCAATACCCCGTTTTCCTATGCACTTATCAGGCCCTTGATTCCAAAATTAGTGAATGAACTGGGTAATTGGGGGATCGAGGAAGAGGGAGTGTTCCCCCTGCTGAGTCAATTCCTTTCTCGTTTCAGACGAGAGCCGGAAAGTGAGGCAGATGGTGTAAAAGAGGGAAAAGAAAAGCAACCTAGCCATCATTTTCTCCATTTTCTTTTCTTCAGCTCATCGAAACCTTAAAACCCATTTAGGAGAGTAATTTACCAATTTGGGCAATGAAAGGTTGAGAGTATGAGAGAATTTTCGATCGTTTGATTCAAGTTACTGACTTTCAATTCATCTATTTTACGTTTTACTCAATCAAAAGAAATTCCTGAGGTCAAGATTTATGAGAAATTGAGAAGAGGGGAATGGATAAAATCTAGAGGTCGTGTTCCGATTAACTCTCCTTTGGAGATTCCTCCATAAGGTGTCAGATTGACTCCCAAAGGAGTGCAAATAAAAGAGAAAAAGGAAAAGGGAAAAGAGATCAAATCTTTATCCATGTCTCTTCGAAAAGAACATGATCTATTCTCTTTTCTTTTCTTATATCTTTTCTCTAATTGACATTTGAGGCAGTTAAGTGTCCATTCGAGGATTGGTTGGCAGTTGAAATTTGTAGGTAAAATGGGATGGAAAGTGGAAAGAAAGGTTTGAAATGAAGTGAAAAGTGCTTTCTAAAAAAACTTAATAGCTTTATTTCAAAGTTCAATACCATTCTTGAGGTTTAAAGTCTAATACAATGAGTTAGATTATTAATTCAAAACTGCTTTATGGGGAAAGGGGCGCGTGGGTAATTCGGAGGGCGCGCGAATGGGATCTTCCCATCCTCTCCTCCAGCCCCATCCGCTCCTCCAGCCCCATCCGCTCCTCCAGCCCCATCCCCTTTTCAATCCCAACCATTAGCCGTTCATTCCTGTCCATCGAAAAAACTAATCTTGTCAAATTTTACAAAAACATTCCCAATAAAGTAAAAAAAAAGAACAAATATGAAGGTTTTTACTTTAAAATTGACAATTTTCAAACACTCCTTTAATACGAAAGTACGAGAGAAAGAGTCCACCAACCTGCTATCAAACATCGTAGACGTAGTAAAAAGAAAAATATAGAGAATCGAAGGAACATCTCGTCTTATTTTTGTCTTGAATCACTTCAACATTCACACATTTCTCGGTTTGAGTTAAAAAGTGATTCCTGAAATAATAGATTTTGCAAAAAAGATTTGCAATTGAAAATTGAAACTGGAAAAATCCTCTTGAGGGGTTCAAATTTCTAAGCGAAAATCAATTCAATTAGAAGAGAATGAGGGGAAAATAATCTGGGAAAGTTGATTACAAAAAAGAAAAGGAAAACGCCGGAAAGTGGAGGGGAATTTAGAAAAATAAACACTTTGGGTCAAGGAAAATTCAGGAAATTTTAGCAATGAGAAAATTTCGAATTTTGATAATGGATAAAATGATGTAAAAAGGTTTAGGAGTTCTGCTAAAGCTAAGAATGGTTCAACGATAGAAAAATTTTGAGTTTTGCAGATTGTTGGATAAAAAAGATTGGTTCTGCGAAATTTTTAGCAGTTTAATAAATGTAAAAATGGTTAGCCCAAAAATTATTTGTATTTTTTTTAAACAATACAAAAGCTGGATAGTTTATTCAATGGCCGATGAAAGGAGAAATTTAGACTGTTGATAGAAAGGAAAAGATGAAGAAAATGGGGAAACAAAGGAAAGAAAAGAGAAGAGAAAGGGGAACAGATGTTCAAAAGACATCCAATCGACCCCTTTCCTCCCCTCCATTGAAGAGTTCACTGCCAATTGAGTCCCAAAGGCTAGACTAGTTGTATGTTGATAGCTCCAACACTCATTCACACGCGAGATTTCTACGAGATGGATTTGGTTTCATTTTTGCTTATGGGAAAGTTTAGAGATTCGGAATCGATGAACTTATTTTTAAGAACTTTGGCTTAGACTTGTTAGTCTCTTAAATCTAAGCCTTGAACATGTAATCTGTTATCGTTAATATGAAATCTGATCAAGTTTCTCTAGTTGCAAGACAATTCATAATAGAAAACTTGTTTTGCTTAACTTGTGCGGTTTTGTTCCAATAGTTAAATCTTCTGTTGGCTGATAGAGGCAATTTAAAGCACAAACTCTTAAGAATCTCAACTTCTAAATTAACCTTGAACATAGATTTCGTGTAAAGTAGATGAAAATCTTAGTCACTTCCCTAAAAAAACTGGCCCAGAGTGACCGCTAGGTTTCAAAAGGAAGTCGAGGAAAGGAAATTGACTCGGAGTCGTAGTTTTTTTGAGAAAAGCTTTAAAGAAATCAGCAGTAAAATCAGTTCAGGAAGAAGTTTTTCAATAGTAAACGTGAATAGTAGAATTTCTTCTCGTTCTCGCTTAAGAGAAGGTTGAACGCTGAAGCGGGTTGTGGGTGGATAATCAAATCGACCGGATGGACAAGGAAAGGAGGGGTTGAGAATGGAGAGGAGGAGAGGAACGACCGGTGGAGATGCGGTAAAAAGGCAATGGGAAGGGTACTGAGAAGGCCCATGCCCAAGACTCCTTCCAGCCTCCAGGAACCCCTAGGAACATAACACTTGAGAAGAGAAAGAGAAGGACCTTCAAAGAGACAGACGAAGATCCAATCCTGGAGAACACTTCAAGTAAATTGCGTCCCTTTTGAGAGATTCTTCTTTTTTAAGCAAAAGAAAAGAAGTCAGAAAAAGTAAATTCATCAAGAGACATTGAAATTCACAATGTTGAAGTTCACAATGTTGCTTTAAAATTTAAGCTTAAAAAACACAATTGTTAGCTGTGGATTGTCTAGACTAGATCAGTGACCAATTTAACAGTAAATTGCGATCTCTGGAGTTCTGCCAGTGAAGTTTATTTTACACTTTTGCAAATGAGCATGTCTATTAGAAAATATAGAACTTAAATCAATAGCCTAGATAAACTTAATCAGAGAGAAATCAATGAATCCTCAAGAATGCAAGTCAAAGTCTAGAGGTCTAGTGGATGTGAGAGTCACCCATCCAGGCAGGAGTCGGGGGTAAAGTGTTAGCACCTTCTGGGAGTGAAAAGGAGGAAAAGGAAAAACGGGTAAAGGCAAGGATATGGGTTTGGCACAAAGAAAAGATGAGAAAAGGAGGGGAAAGGGGCGCGTGGGTAATTCGGAGGGCGCGCGAATGGGATCTCCCCATCCGCTCCTCCAGCCCCATCCCCTTTTTCAATCCCAACCATTAGCCGTTCATTCCTGTCAAATCCCGGAATGAAAATACCTGCACTTGGAGAAATTTTCGCATTTAAACGAATGGATTTATGAGTGAATGCGATCGCTTTTTGATTGGTGATGATGGGAGTGGGAAAATGGAAGCAATGGGTTCTTTAAACAGGCCTATTTAAAAATTTAAATGGGCAATGGGTTCTTTAAACAGCCCTATTAAATTTGGAATCATTCAAAAACACGATAAAAGTCATAAAATCACAATCAGGATCTTAAAAAATGAAAATTTTTAATGCATAACTGCAAATTATAAGCTTTAATTTGTTTTAGAGACTAGGAAAACAAGAATCATCCAAACTTGAACAATATTTTCGAGTTTCAATTTCAAGAAAAATCCAATCGCACACCCTGTTCAATCTATGTAGACATAACAAATTCCCAAATGCAATTCAATCTAAACTATCATTGTATCCATGAGGAAAACTGGCTTCAATTGATGGCCCATTTTTCGAAAACTAATCAATTTTTCATCGTTTCCCTCTTTTCTCTTTTTTTTCAATTTTTCTCACTGGATCGTGCGCGAAATGGGACAATGACCGCGCGGGCATTTTCGTTGAATAATCAAGTGGGGATAATAAAAATGAGGCCGGTGGGAGGAGAGAAGGGAAACGAACGGGGAATCGACGGTGGAAAATATACTATTCAAGTTAGGGTACAAAGGACAGTCAATGATCAAAATGACATTGGATTTTGAGCTGTCAAAGATGGTCCTCAATTTGGGAATGAAGCTGAGGGGACATCCAGTCAAAGTGATCATCGAAAGAAAAGAGGGAAATTTGTGGAGAACCAATCTCATTTCTTTTCACACCTATTTTGCAATCTAGAGACAAAGCCAAGTTTGCAATAAAGCTGGGACTGCAGCCAAGCCGGGGATGATCTGACTTCTGATCGATTTCGAAAGATTTCTATCAGAAAATACGGTATTTGAATTGGATTAGAATAAAGAAATTGCCCAAGTTTCTTATCCAAATGATAAGAAAGAAAATGATCATCTTTGATTTGAATGATAAGAAAGAAAAACATCAAATTGAATCATTTTGAAAGAAACCAGATGAAAAATGAAAAACTAAAGTCTCCAGTTCCTTTTCAAAGAGTCCGAGGTGTGCTACACGAGATAAATAGTCGTAGCGTAATTTGGGAATCAAGCTGAGAGAACATCAAGTCAAAGAAAAAGGAAATGTGTGGACAACTCATCTCATTTCTTTTCACAAAATTTCAGAGGGTCAGTGATAAATCGTTGGCAGCTGTGCATTGCCTGAGGAGAAAAGAGAAAGAAATGGGATATCTGAATGATTTCACTCAAATGGTTCATGCATTCGCGCATTTTTCATCGACTCTTGCTTGTCGATATGTCGGATCTCTTAGAAATTTGGGGAAAAGTGCAAATTTGGCTCAATCTTTCATGTTCTTACATCACTGACAAATTGCTTTTGAGTCCAAGGAATAGAAGGAGGCCGGAAAGTTTGGGAATGAAGCAGAAATAAAGATTTTAAGCTGAAACTTATTCACTCAAGTGCCTGCTCTAGCAGTGTTTTGGTTGAAAATTCAAAACTGAAGTAAATAAAGTCTAAAATTCTAGTATCTTGTTCAACTTTTTCCTCTTTTCATCGTATAGTACCCATTCTTACTCGTTTTCCAAGTTTCTCGATCATAATAAGCATTCATCCGTAATTATCAGCTCGTCTCTTTCACATTTTTTTCGTGAAAAAGAGGACTCTATTCAAACGACGCATCAGTAATGAGATGGGGCCCAAAAAAAAGTGCAGATCTATAGTAGAAATGAGTAAAGAAATCAAGGAAAAGATCAAGAAGAATTGGAGTTTTAAACAAAAATTGGTTACAGGCTTATAGATTGCTACAAAATGCATCATTAGTCAAATAAAATCTGATAGCTTTGAGTTTTATCTTTAAGTATAACTTGTCAATGAAGACTTAGCAAGTTCTAAAACAATATAAAAATGAATTGTAATTGTTCAAAAAAAAGCCAAAGCAATATAGTCAAATGGTTAGAGAGTTCTATCAAACAATACCCCACTAAAGTATAAAAGAAAGAGTTAGCAGTAATAAATTCACCTACATAAATCGAATGACCGGAACGAGGAGGCCAAAGAGGACAAGAAGAGAGAAAATAGATGTTGTGGTGAAATGAAATCCCATAGGGACGGGGGGAAGGGAAGAACAAGAGAAGGGAAAGAGAAAGAAATCGAATCGTTGTCCATGAGCACCCCGATGAAATAAGGTGGTGAAAGGTCCAGAAAGGGAAGGGGCATCGCCGGGAATCGATGCCTTCACCCGTATGGCACTCCCTCTTTTCCCCTTGCCTAGCCATTTCCCCTTTTTAGACTCCCATTCTAGGATCGGCCTTTTTTTACTCCTTCTTTACCTTCTCTTAACCCCCACTCTCCGTATTTTTGGGCACAATTTTTCCAATTCTTTCCTCTTTTCCCCCGACAAAGTACCTTTGATGTGCACCTGCGAGTTTCCCCAAAAATACGCCTGGATCTAGTACGGAAAATAGATAAAATGGATAAAAGATGATAAAAGATGAAGATTTACTGAAGATTTAACACATCTTGGTTTGAGATTTTGTAAAAATGACTTTGTTTTAACGCTTAAAAAAGCTTGATCAACATAATTTTGTCTAAATCAGCCAAAGCAAAAGCTGATAAAGCAAAAGCTGATTGTAAAAACTTGTCAAATAATCCAAGAATACTAATGAACTTCAAAATTCAAAGAGGAAATCCTCCACTTTTTTTGCGGAGTCCAAACGACGACACGCACCCGTAAACACCCCCGATGAGTTATTCATTGATGGACAAGCTTCTCTATGGCCCTTAAGTC